GCTCAGGTGTCACCTCCTGGGTTGGCTCCCACAACCACTGTGTTTCTTCCATAAATGCTCTAGAATAGCTGCCTGAAAACACCTGTCTTTACCAGGTTGTGAACCCCTTAGGGGCGAGTGCCAGCACTCAGCACTGGACCTAGAGGAATTCAATAAGGAATGACATTCAGATCTTGAAGGGTCTTGCTGATTCTTCACTTGTGATTTTGTGAGCTGACAGTCACCAACACAGAAGAAATGAGGCTGTGAGCATTCAGAAATAAGTCCAGAACCTTCCTGGCAGTTCAGATGGAGGGAGGTTGAATGATTATGGTTATATCTGTGACATAAAAGGTCAGGAGTGGAAATGCATTCACAGTTATCAGGGCAGATGTCTTGGGGGCACTGAAAAGTTGGTGACTGGAAACAATGACACCTAAAGACAAATATAAATTAGAATCATATTCAGATACTGTTCATTTAGGATCTGCTACACTTTAGTATTGTGCTAGGTGCTTTCACATAGCTTTTAATTAGCAAAAAGGTATAATTTATTATCTTAACCCAGACACTTTTAAGAGTGAAGGGGGTACTATTTTAAAATATCCTAGAGGGCAGTAGGTGGCATGGAGATTAAGGTATCTGGATCCCACATGGCCAACTACCAGGTTGAAGGCCTGAACCTAGTGGCTTGAAAAACACACCAGGCATGTATGTGTGCATACATGAACACAATACTGAGAGGAGAATGGAGAAGAGATTGTAGCATGGCTATCCCCCTGTGGGGTGATTTCTCACTTTTCCTCTTTCTGTCTCCAGTGAATGCACATGCCCTGTAGCAAAAATTAATAGTAATAATAATCCAGGACAGCAGGTATATACCAGAATTTCCCCAGGAAGTCTAACACTTATGATCAACTTATTATCATTCTACCTGTAAATCACACTTCATGCTGTTTTTTTTTTTTTTTTGTAACCCTTGACATATTTTGTAAGATTTTATCTATCAGTATTACTTATTTAATTTCTTCAGTATATCTCAAGGATTATTGTTTTGTTCACTATTATAACTGCAGTGCTGGGACCAGCAGTTAGTGTAATGGCTATGTCGCTGGACTCCCATGTAGTCGACCGTGGTTCGAGCCCCAGATCCAGTGGCTTAAACTCACACCCGGTGCATGTATGTGCATGCTCAAGATCTCAAGAGGAGAAAGGAGGAGAAGGAATTGCAGTGTGGCCATCCGCCCTGGGGGGGGGGGTGATTTCTCGCTTTCTTTCTC